ATAAAGGTGGGAATAAACTACTTGCCTCCAATCCCCCTGATCTCTTCACTTGCGAAGGTCATGGAGAGAGCCATAAATGACTCATTTTGCAAGCACTCGTTCAAGAAATCAATCTCAAACGACTGTCAACATGGCTTTTCACCTGGGGGGGTCATTTAATACCAATTTGTTGATGGCATGGAATAGCTGGACTCTCTCAGTTGAGCAGAAAAAGCCTGGTCACACTGGTTTATTTGACTTTTTTAAGGCCTTTGACGGGGTAAATCGTGATATCCTAGGTGAGAAACTTCAGCTCGTCGGTGTATACGGAAAGTTAACAACTTGGCTTAGAGATTATCTTTACATCAGGTTGTAGTCAGAGTTAGCTCCTCTCCATCCAACTGGTTCCCAGCGCTGAGTGGTGTGCTCTAAGGTTCTGTCCTGGGCCCATTACTGTTTCTTGCTTTTATCAATGACCTACGAGGATCCTCTAATTCTCATTCACTATTATATGCCGATAACCTCGCCTGGTTAACTAGTTTACTAGTTACTAGCCGGTCCTAAGCCCGGGTAAAGAGGGAAGGTTGGGCATAGGGCTAGCAACCCTACCCCGTAAAACAAATCTAACCGCTAAAGAAACTTCAAAGCACAAACAAAATATAAAAAATGAAAACAAACTTATTCCCCGCTGGAATCGGAGAGGCGAAATGACGCCAGTTGGTGAAAGCCTTCGGGAAGCCAATTGGCCGATGTGTCTTCTCTCGATGAAAGCGAAAGTAAACGTGGGGACATGGAATGTCCGCACGATGTTTGAACCCAGTAAGGCAGCCCAGATTGCAAGGAGATGAGAAGGTATAACATCGAAGTGCTTGGGATTTGCGAAAGCAGATGGAATGGGAGTGGACTCTCCAAACTGTCAACTGGAGAATCAATAATCTACTCCGGTCACCCAGACGCCAACCACGAGCACACTGAGGGAGTGGCTATCATGATGTCCTCAAGAGCATCGAAGGCTCTCATGCAGTGGGAACCAATCTCCTCCAGGATCATGACAGCAAGATTCAACTCAAAAGGAAGAAAGGTCACAATCATACAATGTTATGCACCTACAAATAATGCAGAGCAAGAGAAAAAGGAGGATTTCTACAGACAACTTCAATCAACACTGGACAAGACGTCAGTTGGCGATATCAAAATTCTAATGGGCGACATGAATGCCAAACTGGGAGGGGACAACACGGGAAGAGAACTAACCATGGGTCGAGAGGCGCTAGGTGAAATGAATGAGAATGGAGAATTGTTTGCAGAATTCTGCGCATTCAACGATTTGGTGATTGGAGGCAGTGTGTTCAGGCACAAAGATATCCACAAAGCGACATGGATTTCACCAGATGGACACACTAAAAATCAAATCGACTTTATCTCAATCTCAAGAAAATGGAGACGCAGTCTACTTAACACAAGGTCAAGAAGAGGAGCAGATGTAGGTTCAGACCACTACCTAGTGCAAGGAACCTTCCAAATCAAGTTAAAAGCCTTCAAGGAAGCTGGTGATAGACCTCAATTCAAGTACAACACTCGGAAACTGAAGGATGAAACTACAAAGGAGATCTTCAAGGCAGCCATCAAGACAAAATGGGAGACATCGAGGAACATCCCTGAAGAAACCTGTGTGGAAGAACACTGGAAGTCTTTGAAAGCTATGTGGAAAGAAACCTGCACAACAGTATTAGGAAGGAAGAAGAAAGAAGACAAGGAATGGATCTCGACGGATACCTGGAAGCTGATAGAGGAGAGGAGGATGGTGAAGCAGAAGATAAACCAGTGCAAGGATGCTCAACGACAAGAGGAACTGAGCACAATGTATAAAACACTGGACAAAGAAGTGAAGAAGAGTGCACGCAAAGACAAAAGACACTTCTACGAAACACTGGCAAGTGAAGCAGAACAGGCTGCAGGTAAGAGAGACCTGACGACATTGTATCAAATAACCAGGTTGCTATCAGGGAAGAGACCAACACAGATGAAACCAATAAAAGATGAAGAAGGAAATTTAATTACAAAAGAAGAGAAACAGAGGAAACGATGGGCCGACCACTTCAAGAAGCTCTTGAATCGACCACCACCTGCACTTCGTCCAGAAATACCACCTGCAGCCGCTGAATTACAAGTGAACATTAATCCCCCAACGAAAATGGAAGTCCTGAACGCCATAAAGCTACTGAAATGCGGGAAAGCAGCAGGACCAGATGGAATACCGCCAGAAGCACTGAGAACAGATGCAGAGACAACAGCGGCCATGCTCACACCACTATTGCAGAAGGTGTGGAAGGAAGAGAAGGTACCTGACGATTGGAAGAAGGGTTACCTTGTCAAACTGCCGAAGAAGGGAGACCTCAGTGCTTGCAAGAACTGGCGCGGAATCACTCTCCTGTCCACCCCAAGTAAAATATTAAGCCGCATCATCCTGGAGAGGCTTAAGGGATGCACTGGATTCAAAACTGCGACCGGAACAGGCAGGCTTCAGGAAGTACAAATCATGTGCAGACCAAATTGCAACGCTTCGCATCATCATAGAACAGAGCATAGAATGGCAATCACCTCTCCACCTCAACTTCATCGACTTTGAGAAGGCCTTTGACAGCGTCGACCGAGAAGTAATTTGGAAACTGCTTCAATACTACGGAGTACCGCAAACCTTTATCCGCCTCATTCAACAACTATATGAAGATGCCACATGCCAAGTAATCCACAATGGGAAGCTCAGTGATGCCTTTGAAGTGAAGACAGGAGTGAAACAAGGTTGCCTACTATCCCCCATGATATTCCTTATTGTGGTGGACTGGATCATGCAGCAAACAGTAGGCAGCGAGAAGAAGGGGATACACTGGACGACGGAAAAGAACCTAGAAGACTTGGATTTCGCCGATGACTTATGCCTAATGTCACATAAACTTGAAGATCTGCAGGCAAAAACTAACAAGTTGACAGAAGAGGCAGCCAAGACGGGACTTCAGGTGAATATAGAGAAGACAGAAGTGATGAAGATACCGCACCACCACCATCAACAACAACAACAAACTCCAATCACCGTCAACGGGAGAAACTTGAAGGAAGTAACCTCCTTCACTTATCTAGGAAGCACTGTTTCAACTACAGGCGGGACGGACGAGGACGTCAAAGTCAGAATCGGAAAAGCAAGACAGGCGTTCATTAGCCTGAAACCAGTGTGGAGATCTTCTGCACTCAGCATGCGGAACAAGATACGGATTTTCAACACCAACGTCAAGTCAGTGCTCTTGTATGGCTCAGAGACTTGGCGCGTCACGAAAGGTATTTCCAATAAACTACAGACATTCATCAACAACTGCTTACGCTCGCTGCTGAAGATCAGATGGCCAGAAAAAATAAGCAACAAGGAACTCTGGGAACGAACCAACCAAGAACCTATCACGCAACAAATATGCAGGAAGAAGTGGAGATGGATTGGCCATGCACTGAGAAGGCCGACTGAGGACATCACGCGTCAGGCCAGCTCGAGTGGAATCCCCATGGGAAGCGACGAGTTGGACGTCCGAGGGTGACATGGAGGAGGTCGTGCGAGCAGGAAATGAGAGCTTCTGGGCTGTCGTGGGACCAGGTTCAAAAGATCTCAGAGAACAGAGGTCACTGGAGGCGTGCTACTGAAGCCCTATGTTCCACTAGGAACCCAAGGGACTAATAATAATTATAATAATTATATGCCGATGATCTGAGGAGTTGAAGGGAAATACGGTTGCCAGCGGACATTTTGGTCTTCCAGGAAGACCTGACGAAAATCTTTAATTCGACTACGGAAAATCTGCTTCTCAACTCGAAGTGTCGGATAATGATAGTTGACAGACATAAAAGCAGTCCCAGTTCTTACTCTCTGGATGAAAGAAATATCTGTCACTCTAACGTGGAACAAGATCTGGGAGTTACAATAAGGCAATAAGGCATATGGAGCCTTGGGTTTCTCTCGTGAACCTTAAGGTGTCTAGCTCCTTCTCTTTTCACCGCAGTGTATGCTCTGTACATTCATCGTCATTTGGAAAAAAATTCGCTTGTAATGTCCCCATACTTGAAAAAGGACATTGCTATCCTAGAACGGGTACAGAGAAAAGCTACAAAGAAAGTGATCGGGTTACGGCACAAACCTTACCCAGACCGCTTAGTTGCTCTTCAGCTGCACCCAGTACAACACCAGAGGATCAGAGGGGACATGATCATAATGTACCACATCGCCCATAATCTCCTCCTTCTTAACAAATCCCTTCTAAGCTTGCATCGGAAACGCGACCTGAGGGGTCACCCGTTACGAACAGAGCATGAGAGAGCACGTACAAAGATCCGTGCTAACTCATTTGCAGTTAGAGTCTGTGAACTGTGGTACTCCCTTCCTTTCGCAGTTGTTACATCCCCATCCCCTGATACTTTTAAAAGGAAGTTAGACGCACACCTTGAATCCTAAGGCACCGATGGGCTGTACTCAAGAAGCTTTCCACCATCTGCAGATCAGGTGCAGTTATACTACTGGCATTTCATATTCTTAACAGTGACTTCGGTACTGATATCGCCTATCGTTTCCCCTCGCTGGGACTGACTATCTCCTAGGGCATCGCAAGAGAATTCTGAAACCGCGATTGAATCAACTTAGCATGAACCTGCGTTTCTCCCATCGTGTTGTCAACGGCTGGAGCTCTTTACCTCAGCAAGTAGTATCAGCACCTTCTGTCAACTCGTTCAAGGAGAAACTAGATCTTTACAGAGATATCTTCTGCAAGGATTAACACAGGCCAACTGGCCTACTATCCTTATAACTGAAAACTGAAAACTAACTTGAGACCAGATTAAGTAATAATCGTTTATCTCTATCCATTCAGGCTTTTCGGAACCAGGAAGATAATTGTGACCATTCCAAACCCAGAACGTATTTCAATAAGACAGACGTTCACTAATTCCAAATTACGAAGTTTGAAGTGTCTGAACCATTTTGGATACTGAATGACCCTAGCGCTTCCTGGTGACCTTGTCGACTTTATTTTGGTTGTCGTTTCTGTGTGGATGTCTTTTGTCCATTGGAATGTCTAAGTCATCATTACCTCTTGAAATCTTTTTCAAAAATTCCAAGTTTCTGAAGAAAACTGTGGTTGTCAGGGCTAACGATTATAATGGTGCCTTTAAGGCGCTTCGAAAGTGAGTACTTTGTGGGGACTAATCTGATTTGTTTTTGAAATTTTCATGATAGCTTTCGTCTTGATATTGTTAAGGAACTGCAAGGAAATAATGTTGGCTTGTACAGTAGTCCTCTAGCAATACAAACACTGTTGATCAAAAGGCATCGGTCAATGAACCTCAAAGCCTCAATCTCAACATTTTTGTCGGGCCAAATAGGGCAGTGTTAGGCCACTCACCATCGAAAACTACAGACCAAATGTAGGACTTAAGGTCTTGCAAAACTTTCCCTACTTGTAGGCTCATATCTATCGGCCTTGCATTTGGCCTCATGTTTGGCGTACATGGCCCTAAGTTTCTACAAATGGTCTGACGTCTGGCGCCATGCATTCGTTGTTGACTGTACAACCAACCAGCCAACACACTAAATAGATCGACGTTTTTGCCTGATTCTTATGCCATTAGGGTGCACCTCAGAAACTGATGTCGTAACCCAAAATGTACTTTCGGCATACTTCGGGAGGTCGAAAGCTATGGCCATAGTTAGCCGGGGTCCACTTTAGAACCTGAAATTTTAGGCAAAACGTGTTTTTAAACGTCATAGTCGTCAATTGTAAGGATCACGGTTAACGTTTCCGTGGAAACTAACCGGGGGCCATTAGGTAACATTCACTTTGAAAACCTAAGGCTTGGCGCAGACTTCGCAACATTCCTTCATGTTATTGGCGTTCAGCTTCTTGATAACTATCATTTGGCCCCATATTGCCTGCCTCTTCTGTAAACTCGCTAGTTTTTGCCTGTAGATCTTCGAGTTTGTGCGACATTAGACATAAATCATCTGGGAAATCCAGATCTTCTAGTGTCATTTCATCGGTCCAGTCAGCGTATGCCCACCTTCTCGCTCCTCACAGTTTGTTGCATAATCCAGTCGACCACAATCAGGAAGATGATGGGTGATGGTAGGTGGCAACTTTGTCTTACTACTTCCTGTCTTCACTTCCAAGGTATCACGGAGCTTTCCATTGTGAATCACTTAGCATGTAGCATTATATAGCATATAGGTGTTGAATGAAGTTGATAGAGGTTTGTGGGACTAAAACCGTAGTGTTGAAGCAGCTGCCTGCCAAATTACTTCTCGATCAACGCTGTCGAAGGCCTTTTCAGAATCGATGAAGTTAGGGTAGGGAATTGACTGCCATTCTATAGTCTGTTTTATGATGATTTGATCCGCACATGATATGTTGTTCCTGGAGCCAGCCTGTTCTGGTCGTAGTTTTGAGTGCAGCGCATCGTTTAGTCTCTCCAGGATGATGCGGCATAATACTTTGCTATGGGTGGACAGGACCATGGTTCCTCGTCAGTTCTTGCAAAGACTTAGGTCTCCCTTCTATGGGAGTTTGACAAGGTAGCCCTCCATTGTCAGGTACCTTCCCTTCCTTCCAAACCTTCTGCAACAGTGATATGAGCATGTTCGCTGTTGTCTCTGCGTCTGTTTTCAGTGCTCCTGGAGGCATTCCATCTGGTCGTGCTGCGTTCCCGAATTTCAGCAACTTAATGACATTCAGGACTTCACTTCTGCTTTTGTCGGAGTGCTTGTGTTCACTGGTAATTCTGTGGTTGCTGGTGTCAAACTGCGAGTACTTGCAGCAAGCCAGTTGTGGAACATCATCTTACATTTGACAGGTGCCGGTGACACATGCTGAGCATACTCAGATTTGTACTCATGGCGTTCAGATGACCCTGCATTTTGTCAGCGTCTTCATGTAGCACGACAATATCGTCTGCGTACTCCAAATTAACGAGATGACCTCGAAGGGGTAGGCCAATCTCTGTGAAGTCATACATGCCTGCAGTTATGTACATTAGTTTGTGTATAACGAAGTTGAATGGGAACGGTAGCAGAGGACATCCGTGGCGGACACTACTAGTTGTCGTCGATTATGGTGACAACCCTCTATACGCCATTACATGGCTGTGTGAGTTCTAGTGGAGAGCTTTAAATAGCGTTATATACTCTCTGTGCACTCCCTTCTTAGTGAGACAATGCTGCAACAGCTGATGGTCGACATAGTCGAATGCTGACGTCAGGTGAGGAGATATGACAAGTGTTGACCACTGGTCGTTAGGTATAGCTGTGTTCTGGAACTTGTGTTTTAGGGTGAAGATATGATCGACTGACCCTCATCCATGTGCTTTTAAATCTGTGTGGTTTTCTCGAGTTTGTTGTTGTGGAGCTGGATTTGTGTGTTGGATGACTGTGGATCCTAGGATGTTGTACACAATATTGGTGTAAGTGGCTCGCATATGGTTGTTGTAGGAAGACTTCTCTGCCTTGTTCTAGAGTGGGATGATGAATGAAGTACACCAGTTTGTTGACACAATCTTCGATTCCTTTACACTACGTAGTAATTAATTAACATCATATTCAGTGTTGTTTTTTATTTTTTACAACTTACCGTTCGTCTTGGGTTTTCTTCTAGTTGTTTCCTACTTTGTCAGTCAGTATTGAAATGGGCCTTGATATTGTTGCTAAACAATCCAAGCTGTGGCAACACACTTCATGGAGATACAGAGCGACAAAACGAAGATCAGATAAATGTGAATAACGCCATCGAATTCATACAGAGCCATAATACATAAAAGTTGGGCTAACATCCAAAACTAAGTCTGATATAACGTCGACAGTGCATGAATTTGTATAATCGCGATCGATTCAGAGCCGTTTTCAACTATCGATTTCAATTTTCATGCGGCACCCACCTGAAAGGCTACATTTTCCTACGTGTTTATGACCAAGGGCTAGACGCTTCATGAACTGATGTCACCTTTTAATCTAACCGCTCTTAAACTTCTTCCGATCTACCTGTAACTCGGCTCATATTGAGTGATGAGTTGGATGGTGACTAGGTTTTCGTAGTACGTTTTCCAACCAATGAAGGTGTGCAACCTGACCTATTTCGTTTCCCTAAGATCTTAAGTAGTAAACTCAGCCTTTAACAGGCAACTGGATATCTCGTCGATGCCACGAGCGACGTGATTTGGGGAATGCCAGTTGAATTCCCTCTATCCATCTGGTTACTGACCCATCGGAGATGATCCAGCTTCTCAAGAGAGTGAAGTGGTATCGGTACAAATTAGTCGTGAGGTAACAATTTTAATTTTAGGGGATAGAGATGCACTCCAAACATTTTCATATTGTCACCGAACGTATCCGGAATACTGAATCATGTTAACGTTCATACTACCATTGCATTTTCTTCCACTATTATTTACGCTTTTTTCTCCACTTATCCAATTTTTCTTCACTGCACTGTTTATGATTCATTACCAGTTCTTCTGTTAGTTTCATGGAGAACATTTTTACGGGTAGACGAGAACTTTTAATTTTCCTGTATATTTTTAGTTACGTAACATAATTGTATGTGAAAAACACCCCTTATCGGTGTATGTGTGTTATAGAATTTACGTCTAATAGTTTTATTTCTACTTTTTTATCTTTTAGAATACTGAGTTTAGATAAGGTTATGAATACAATCGCTTCACAAGAAAGATATGAGCGACCAACAGAATGGAGACGAAGATTCATGTATGAACGTTGCAAACGTATCTATGACGCTGAAATGTCAAGGAAAATCGCACTGGTGACACGTAAACATAGAGTTGATCCATGGCCTCGATAAAATCAATAAAGTTGTTGAACCGTTGTTTAGTACTGTACAGGTTCACGATGGATAGTTTTTATTATATAATTGGCTCATGTTTGTGTGCGCACATTCGTTGTTTATTGTCTTTTTTACTTCCTGCTCCTGGAGATTGTTTTGATTTTGTAAATGCAGCCATTTAAGAAGCTATATAATATAGTGTTTTCTAATGCGGCTCACAAACTGGGGTTTTTTCAAAACAATCCCAGCGTTTGCAGCACACAATCTTCAGATTGATACACGAATGTATTCATTTATTACTTCTCCTTCACTAGCTGTTCATATGTCAGTAATATTTTTGCGTTCCAGACAGGTTTAGTTTGCTCGGGCCGTAGGTATTCACACATCAACTTTACCTAGCATCAGTAGTAGCTTGTGATTTTGATAGAGCGCATCGCTTGACTTGTTCATCCTGTAGTATCTGTCAGATGCTCGTTACAATCAACTGCAAACAAACGTCGTTCCTCTCGATTTCTGATATCACATGCCAAGTAAACTTTGCATCAACATTGATATTGAATATCGATTTGTAGATCTGTGTCATTGGTTTAATGATCATCAGTGAAGTGACCAGAAAAGAAGGTTTAACGTGGAATGAGTTGATATTGTTCACCAATAGCAAGTAGGTGAGCTATCTGAGTCAGAACGTTTGCTCTCATTAGGACATCAACTTTCATAGTATGGGTAGCAAGGAAGTACAGACACTTCCAACAGTATACAAAACTGACTTAGCTACAACCTACCTTCCTTATCTTTGCCTCTTCTATTGCTCTGACTACCTGTCCATTTCACCAACCATTGCTGACGATCAAAGTGAGCAAAACAGCATTCCTAGTCTCCTAGAACTACACTGTCAATTTCACATTGGAGCTGTCATCTGTAGGACCTTATTACAAATCGGGTGGCGGGGCTCACAACAAAACTCTGAAATATCGGGCCACATATATCTTGTTCCTGAGACATATACTCTGGATCCAACAAAAGAATAAGATACAAGATAAAAAAAGGGAGAAAAATAGGTGGAAAGCAGTTAATGAGAGAAATACGAAAACGAAGAACTTATTATGACGATTAAGATAACGGTAATGCGTGGATGCATCTACGCCACTTAGGTCGTTCCTGAGACATGGCGCCTACATTCTCCAACCGTTGATTTGTTTCCACGCAGACCCCAACGCGGAAGTTTACATTATCCTATACGGCTCAGATCAACAGTCAAAGACTTCATGCATTGATGCTATGACGTAGTCTTGGCACCTCTAACCTTTTTCTAGCCTGAACTTCGGGTGACGAGGCGAATATGTCAGAGTCGACTCAATGTCGGAAGGTTCAAAACCTCACCAACTGTCTTTCCTCTGTCTCCTTAAACTCTACACCCGATTTCTGCTTTACTGGGGCGGTGACACTATTATGCGGCCTATGCCATGAAGCCAGTGGTGGTCAAACAGCTGAAGTTTCATATCCTCTAGCTTTAATAGCCATGTTTCACAGCTATACAACAGAACAGAGTGGACTGCTGGGCAGCACATCGAACCCTTGATAGAAAATCGGATATTGTGGAGGCACCACGGGCTGAATAAGTTGCCAACTCACAAGTGAAGGCATAACACTGAGTTGCAGGGCAGAAGACGCATGGGATATTCAACGGTACCAGTTTGACTTGGTTGGTGTGTAGTTCGTAGGAACGACCGTGATACACCGATGCCTGTTTATTGTCTATGCCTACAAGCTTACCGATCGCAGTTCGGATGTTGTGAAGCATGAGTTTTACCAAAAGCTGTCGACTTGGTCATAGTAGCGGGTTACTTCGACACCGTGGTCGGGAAACTGAGCCAATCGGAAAACCATACTGAAGGACAAGTATCTACGGTATCTCATATTGACGAATTGACATCACTGATTATTTCTTCTGTTTTGTCCTGATAATCACTTGCTCCTAGTTAGCAATAACCTTAGACTTAGGGAGAGACAGTGTCTCACTTGGCATCTACCGATATCAGACTAATGGTGGGCATAGGGAGTGGTTCAGCGGAGGATTTTCTCTCGTTATGAAATACCATCTTAGAGCTAGGTCATGTGTTATTCTGGATATATGTTTGTTTTTATCTTAAAAGATGCAGGGAAAAACAGTATTAATACCTGTATTTTCTCGATTGGAAGATGAGAACAAGTGTGTTTAGGGAGAAGACAGTTTAGCATTTACTTGAACATGGCAGCTATTCTCATAAGCATGAAAATTAGAGTGGTATTCAGTCTGTCGTAGAAACTGTATGCAGGAAAGTATAGGCTTCCCGACTGGAGTCTTTTAGATAAGAGAAACTACCGACTGAAGACTTGAAGATATGACCGAAATCGATCACGTACTTTGTTCACTTTGAATATTTTTATTCACCTTCATCTATTTATTTTCTGTCGTCATACATTTTCGTCTACTTTAATGTCATTATTGCTTTGAGGTATAGCAACTTCTACGTTTTTTTTCTATCTGTCTACATTAGTCAGAATTTCTAGTCAAGCAACACCAGAATGTACTGAATGAAAGATATGACACAAGCTAAAGAAGCACATTCAGTCAGTTTGTTCACTAGGCAATGAGCCACACTTGTTTTAGGGCTAGTAATATTACCTGATTATCCCGGCCTCCGTAGGTGGGATGGGATTCGAACCTGTGACCCAGTGATTGAAAGCCATCTCCCTAAAACCAGTGAACCACATCCCCATTAAGTTAAGGAAGAGAAATGAGTGAATTCCTCGAGAGGAAATTGATTAGTAATGTAGATTTTGATAAACTGGTCAACGTAGAATGTATAAAGTTGATATGCACTTAAGATGTATAGTTGATCATCCCCTCACAAGAATTTATAAAAATTACAAAATATATTTTAATTCATTGAAAGAGAGGGAAATTTATGGCATCAAACTACCTTATATTTTTGAACAATGCAAGAACAAAGACATTTTCAGAATAAATTGAGATCATCTTAGTCAAAATTAATGGCAATTTATATCTGATGAAATGGAAAATTCTGGAACTGTGGAGTGGGGAGGGACAACAAACAAAAACCAGTGTAACAGAAGAGTCTCTTTAAGAGCTAATAGGTTACGTAATTATATGAAAAGCTTGAAAATCGTTAAGTGATTAATTTTCAGTAATTAATTAATGAAGAGATGATGCAGCCAAAAGAAGACTTATACATACACATGCAAAGGAAAAATTACATACATTTACTGAGGAAAAAAAAGATTAATTACAGTCTCCTTCTGAGTACATAGGTCAGGTTGAAAATGTTTGATAGCGAGAACTTCCACAAACTGTAATCAACATCTATTTGATGTTCTATTTGCATCAGATGCCTGGTGATTGCGCTTTTAAAGACCTTGTCACCATTCAGACACAGATTTCTTGGAATATGCTCATAAAGTTGAGTAGACTCTCTTCTTTCAATCCGTTTTATGTATTTGCTTTCATAAGCACAGGTGGATTGATATACGCAGTTGGAGAGGACGTGAGATGGGTATTTGTCTACTTTTGACTATGTTATTGAGCTTAATGTATTATAAATTGAGATCAGTCTGACAGTAGGGAAGCTTCTCAGTGCAGCTTTTATTCTTCTGTCTATTCTTTCACATGTCTCATCACCTCTGAATGTTAGGCGAAGGAAAACAGGTTTCTTCTCAACAGTTGGATGTTTCGGTCACTCAATAAATTCTTTTCTATGTTTCTTGATGGATATCTTCGGATATCCATTATCTATAAGATCCTTCTCAATTATTCCGAATTCTTCTTTTTATTCTAGTGAATAGCGTCCTGACTAAGCCTCATTTATAGCTGACAGGTCAGAAGCTTTTGTAGTGAAGGTACTGACCAATTCATGTATCTTTTCTGTGAATAGTTTTCTCAACTGAACCATCATATCTCCTGCTTATACTTAGATCCAAAATATTGAATCTGTCATCATTTTCATATTCCATTGTAAAATTATTATTTGAATGAGCTTGATTGAAGGTGCCGAATAACTTTGACGCATGATTTATATTATTACAAACAATGAAAGTATCATCGACATACCTGCAGTAATTTGTCGTTTCTTTGGTCTTTGTTCTTGCATTGTTCAAACTTGTTGAGGGAACTACATGTATGACATAACTCACATCTATTTTTGTAAGTATACTTATTCTGGAAACCACTAGTATTTTCAGTCGACACAGGCTTCCAAATACCGATGACTGAACATCGATGTTGTCTGCCTTAATGCACTAAGAATACAGATATTTCCAATTCAACGGCATTGTGTGTGGACAATTTATTAGAGTATCTATATGAAGTTTTCTGGGACCGATACTATCCTAACATATTTTTGGGATATTTAGAAAGACCCAAACATATTTCGGATTCATAATTATGCTCAATGTGGCATTAAGTTTACGACATATATATGAAAGAAAGGCTAGGAAAGCCTTGTTGAAAGAAACAGGTATTCTTTGTAAAACTTTTTGGAGCGTTCAATATCGAAACTTCAATCATTTTACCCAGTTAGCTATAAATACTTCATGAGGAATGGTAGGAGAAAGAAACGTTGCAGCGTACAGAGGAAGCCAATTTTTGAGAAAATTGTTTCTAAAGTTTTTGATACAGTAGAAGTCTCATATTGACGACTTATCCAACCACTGCTGTACGGAAAAGCATGTGTGAGGCCTGTTGGTAGTACTCTTTGGGTGCCCAAACTTGGGAGTGGCTCGAACTAGTGACTTATTGGTTGAAAGTCATCTCCATGAACCGATAAGCCATAACCCTGACAGTGAGATTGTAGACCTTTATCAACCAAGTTACCTAAAATATGCGAGTTTTATACTCAGGCCCCACTCTGAAATACAATGTTCACTTGTATCGCAGTAGGACGTAGGATTTCGAGACCGATACTTAAACCTTGCGTACTTTTTAAGTTTGTCTGAACAGTGCAAAAAAGTAAAGGGTACGGGGATATCTGTATATAATATACCAGAGTTTTATGAATGCTCTATTATTCCACTCACCTAGCACCATTAAGGTGAGGAAACTGACTGACTGATAGAATAAGCGTAGAAGCATACACACAGTTTGAAAATAAAGGTTAGTATAAATATTCAGGCTATAGAAGACGTCAAAGAGTGAGTACATCTGTGCTATTGTGATCAATTTTCATCCATGTCACCAAGAGTCCTCGACCGCTGATCCCTTTCTTCTCATGGAACCCGCTCAGTCAGCCTACATCTCACACAGATCACACCAACAGTAAGAGACTTCAAGTACATATGCCACTTCTTGTTCTAACGAACCTGAACACTTCCAAACTAATCCAGCTAGTATGACACTTCGAATTAGGCGGTGGCTCGTCATGCGCAGTACACGTCCATGCCATCTCAGTCGGTGATTTCACGAAACGGGAGAGATGTCATGAAGATATCTGTGATCAAAACCCTGTAATCGCTTCATGCCTTCTGCTTTTAACAGATATGTCTCACAGCTGTGCAAGAGGACTGAACAGACTGCGCCACAGTAAACTTGTCCTTCAATAGATAGTCAGATATCTGACCATTCAGCTTTAGAGATGACGTAGGTTGACAAATGCAGAACTGGGCTGCTGTATCCGAGCTGAGATTTCGTCAGCTGCCACCTCATTTGGGTGGGTGGAACTTCCTAAGGAA